TGCCTGGCAGCAGCAGCCCGGTGTGAGAGTTTGCCGCTGTTATCGTTGAGAAATACTTGAATCCTTGATGCCGTGGAGGTCTTGCTGACTGCGCTGTCTGTGACGGGATCCCGAGCACAGACTGTTGAGGGTGCGGCAGGCGCTGGCACTGGTGAGGGTTCCTGGCTCTCACGCCAGGACTGGAGCCAGGTCTTCCAGTTGCGTGAGGATAGGAGGGGACTTCAGCAGGGTGACGGGGCTGTCGCTTATGCTTTTTCTTGTCTTGCCTGCAGATGGCAGCACGCCCTGGACCTCCCTGAACCGCGGGCGGTCCTGAGGCTGGACAGCAGAGAAACAAGAAAATGGAGTCCCTTCTACTGGAGGCCGGAATGCCAGCCACCCGCCGTGGGTGAGTGCAGAGCTCGACCGGAGTTTTCCTCTTATTTGTTCTACATTATTTGTTTTTCAGTACAGGAATTGATGCAGATCACACATGTTCAATTTTGATGTCGTTTCTTGATTTTCAATTTGTTTACAAAAATGGAAAACAATAGCAGTGTAACCAGAATTATTCCTAGAAGGTCTCAGACAGAGTGGAGGACAAGGGGCATCCTCTGCATTGTAAGTGTGGCCTCCCTTCCTATCTGCACCTGGGGCCTGTCCCCTTTGCCATCCAGGGAGGAGGTGCCCACCCTAAACAGTTCAGCAAGTGTGTGGTAAGCCACGAGGGTGAGGTGTTCTCTGCACCATCCCTACTATCCTTCATCCAGTTGCTCACAAGGCAGACTATTCACCTATGGCCAGAGAGCTGTCACTGGCCCTGCAGATCCCCCCAGACCTGGTAGCCCCTTGGTGGTCTTCTTCCTCTGATCCTCCTCTCCTCCCACACCTATTTCACAGCTATAACTTATTCACCCTAAGATCTTAGTTGTGCTGCAGTCTGCGCAGTTGAAGGGGGATTGTTTGTGTTCTGTTTTAATCCCATTTCTTAGCTTTGTGCTCAGTAGAAAATAATTTTTCATATTTGGGGATAAGGATACCTTCTGCCCTCTATGCCAAGGGCTCCTACTCCACTTCTTGGCCTTCTAGTGAATTTCAACATCTGCTAGGTTTGGCGATGTCTCTCCCTTAGCTGCCACCCCTTCAGGGCCCTGCCTGACAAGGATTCTGTGACATCTTCCCTTAGTGGCCCAAGTATTCTTTGAAGGGAACTTGATGATGCCTTATCCTTCACCCCAACCTGTGAGTACCTACTATGCGTCAGACACTGAACTGCAGAGCTTACATCTCATTCAGTCCTCACAAAACCCTGGAGAAATAGGTGATATTATTCCTTTGTTACAAATCCAGAAATCAAGGCCCAGAGATTAAAGACTTATACAGGAGCTAAGACTTACAGAGCAAACCAGGGTGGTCCCCCGAGGTCTCTGTCTCTCTTGCCTCTTACGGGAAAGTGAGCCCAGCCACTTCTAGGTACAAGATGAATTACATTTATGTTGTAACGACCTGAAAAAGGAATAAAGTGAAATTAATGAGAAACAAAATTATAATCCCCGAACAACCCCCATATTTAAATTTACTATCCTAATTTTACATAATACTGTTTTTCTTATCTACTTCATTTAACCTGAACTGTTGGCACATACTGGTAAAATTTGCCTTTATTACTATTAATAGTTGCCTTATGTGCATCATTACAATTTGTACCAGTTAATGCAAAATTGTTTTATTGCTCATTCAAAGAACTTGTAATTTCCATAAATTGGAAAAATTTGATTTAAAAATTTTAGAAGTCTTCCTCCACACCCAGGAGGTTCAGTGACATGTTTGAAGAAACACACCAATGAATACTAAACTCTCTGAATGTGACACTGTCTCAACCTAGTTCTGGTAACTGATGCAAAAGAGAAAGTTCCTCAACCTAAGTCTAAACTGTTATCAGAATCAATTATTTTGTAATCAGGTCTCTCATATTTTAAGTGAGAGACTGAACGTTTTAAATGTTACAGTTAAACCGTGGTCATTGAAAGCAAAGCTGTCATTTGTACCAGAAGTATCTTCCCAAGACTGCTTTGGGGCATTTCTTCTCTGGTCTCTCTGGACAAATAGCCTCAAGGACACATTAACTGTGGGCATTTCAAACTGGCAGACTTCAACAACTGTCCCTTTAGCCACTAACTTGTGATTGTGTGGCATTTTTTCCTTTTTTCCTATTTCCTTTTTATAACAGCTTTATTGAGATATAATTCTCATACTATGCAATCTACCCATTTAAAATGTACTGTTCAGTGGTTTTTAGTGTGTTCACCAGAACCAATTTTAGAACATTTTCATTACCCCAAAAAAAATCCCTGTACCCCTAAGTTGTCGTCTCCCCATTCCCCATCTCTCCCAGCCCCTGGCAACTACTAACCTACTTTCTGTCTCTATATATTTGCCTATTGTAGATATCATACAAAAAGAGTCATATGACATGTGGACTTTGGTGACTAGCTTCTTTCACTTAGCATAATGTTTTCAAGGTTCGTCTATATTGTATCATGTGTCAGTACTTCATTCCTTTTTTTTTT